CATGAGATTGCTTATTGAGTTATATGAAATCATGAGATTGCTTATTGAGATATATGATAACATGAGATTGCTTATTGAGTTATATGATAACATGAGATTGGTCATCGAGATGTATGATAGCATGAGATTGCTTATTGAGTTATATGATAGCATGAGATTGCTTATTGAGTTATATGATAGCATGAGATTGCTTATTGAGTTATATGATAGTATGAGATTGCTTATTGGGTTATATGATAGCATGAGATTACTTATTGAGATGTATGATAGCATGAGATTGCTTATTGAGATATATGATAGCATGAGATTGCTTATTGAGATGTATGATAGCGTGAGATTGCTTATTGAGATATATGATAGCATGAGATTGCTTATTGGGATGTATGATAGCATGAGATTGCTTATTGAGATATATGATAGCATGAGATTGCTTGTTGAGTTATATGATTAAATGAGATTGTTTATTGAGTTATATGATAGCATGAGATTGCTTATTGAGATATATGTTAGCATGAGATTGCTTATTGAGATATATGTTAGCATGAGATTGCTTATTGAGATATATGTTAGCATGAGATTGCTTGTTAAAGTTTAAGCATATTATTAACCCTCTGTTGAGCATGATTTGTGTATATCGCCATGATAAGAAACAAATGTTTTCCAAAAGTATATACTGTAGTATTTTACAGGGTTGAGTGGCGTTATACTTAGCTTCGTGTTAACAGGTTACTTTCTACTTGTTTGTTTGTTAACCCCTTTCAGGTGGGCCCAGTGTTTGAGCGCGCACGAGCTGGTTTAGTGCGTACACTTTGAGATATTAGATTCTAGTGTAGAATCTGTTGAACTTGATGTTTAGACGTTACTTAATCTTTTGTTGGTGTTGAACACCAGGGCTTCGTTCCCCAAGCTTATCTTGTAGTTGTTTGAACTTTGACTCTAGTTAGATTCCCTTTTTGTAGCGGTAACACCCTTGTCGGATATTTTATTTAAAGCTTTAATCTCGTTAAGTTTATCTTTGAAAGTTAAGTAACTGTGGATTAGTGTTAAGAAAAGTGGGGTGTTACAGTGGCCGAGATCGACTTTAGCCGGGGTCGACCTACGCTGGGGTCGTCCTTAGCCGAGGTCGACCTTAGCTAGGGTCGAGCCCTGCTAGGGTCGCCCTTGGCTCCTCATGTCACGCCAAGTCCTCTCCGGGTCGGTCTACCTCGAACCTGTTTTTAATATGTTCATCAGCAGTCCCCCACGGCCCCACTCTCCGAGGTGCGAGTCTTCTCAACGAAGGAGGCATTGACTCTTTATGTTTCAATATGTTGAGAAAGTACATATATATGGACAACATTGTAACAAAGTCAATAGTACTTTTAAAAAAAAAAAAAAAAAAAAAAACCTCAGCTAGACTACATTTTACCATACGTGTTCTCATGTAAATTTATAAAATTAAATAAAAATATATAATTGGATAATTTTAAGAGTAAATAAAATAATACGTAGTAATACATTTACAAAGAAATACTCTAAACTGAGTGAAGGACATAACTGATAGGTTATAACTCCTGAACTCCATGATTTTGAAATGAAGTATTTAGAACCGGAAGCATTACATATCCCCTAATAGCTGGTATGAGGTCCGACACTGTTAACTACCTGATAGAAGAATCTTTAATTTTCATGGCCAAGCCTGTGGCTCGACTATGGATGTGTTACATGCATATCCCTTAAGAATTGGTATGGGGTCTAACCCTACTAACCACCTGACGAAAAGAACTTTTTCTTGGCCAAGCGCACGACCCGGTCACGAAAACATTCTCTAAGGGCCAATACAAAATTCGATCCTGCTAACTACCCAACGGAAGAGCCAACCTTCGTCGAGCTCATGGGCAGTCAAAGTAAGCTAGAGACAAAACAAAATACAAAATACAAAAAAAAAAAAAAAAAAAACAAAAACAAAAAACAAAAAAAACAAAAAAAAAAAAAAACAAAAAGCGAGCCCAAAAACCTTAGCGACCCTGCGTTTCCAAGACAGCCCGCGCCCAGACGAAGAGGGCTCAAATCACAAATTAAATCGCAAGGCAAAGGATGCAAGCTTAAAAGGTGTTTAAGCAAACAAAATATTTCCATTCAAGTTGACCTAGAAACATTCATCATCCAAGCATGGAGCCCCAAGCGCCTTTGATTGGGTTGGACATTTACTCTTTCTCATTGTCGCTTCCGCGCAACTCGGAGATTGAGGGGTTAATCATGGAGATATTGGAAACGACTCAATAATAGGGACTCGGGGTCCGGGAGCCCATTGCCCGGGGCCTAAGAAGATGACCCAAGTGGCCTAAGAAGAGTCCAGAACTCAGAACCCGTCTTCGTGCCCAGAATGATGGGCATTGACTTAGTCTTGTGGCCATTGCATGGGCCTTGACTTAGTCTCATGGCCCACCGCCGCATGGGCCTTGGCTTAGTCTCGTGACCCACCGCCATATGAGCCTTGACTTAGTCTCGTGGCCCACCGTCGCATGAGCCTTGACTTAGTCTCGTGACCCACCTTGTTTTTTGGAATTTTGTTGAGACCCTACCTTGTATACATACTAATCTAAAGAAATCTAAATACAGAACGGACCCAAAAACCCCAATAACAGGTCAGGTCTAAAGAATGAAAGAAATAAAATAAAAGAATTGACCCAAGCCCAAATAATAGGCTAGCAGCAGCATAGCAGATGTTTCTCAGACTAGAAAGTACTGTTGCGCCACCATGCCGCACCACCACAAAGTTGCAATGTCGCGACTCTGCACCACAATGCAACGATGCAACAGTGCCAACACGGCCGCAACGCTCCACGCCAATGTCTCGTCAAAGCTATCTGCTGGCCAAAACCTCCAAGAATGTTAGCCCATTTTGTAAGACATCCGGCAGCATAACAGTTGTTGCAGGACTATCTCACAAGCACTGTTGTAAAAATCGCGCCTAGGCGCCGATTAATCGACGCCTAGGCGCTAGGCGGCCGGGCTCTTAGGCGCCCGCCTAGGCGCCCTAGGCGCTCCCCAGGAGAGACAAACATAAAAAGACCAAAATACCCTTTGATTATACGGCCTCTTGACGGAAATATTAACGGTGGACTAAAAGTGAAACACATTCAATAATAGTGGTTGTAAAGTGGCAAAAAAAAATTAAAATGGACTGAAATTAGAAACGCCCCTATAACAGTAGGACCAAAAATGGAATTCACTCTTGTTGGAAACATGCATGCTAGAAGAATCTTCAACATTTGCTTTATTCAAGAATACATGGGTTGCAGATGATTAATGATTTGGCTAAGGAAGTCAATGGATTGTATTACTTAGAAACACATATTATGAAGAATGTTAATGCTACTAGCAGAAAATGAGTCATTTTCATAATAGCACATATGTTTCCTAATAGCACATATTCCGGGTGTTTTTTCTATTGCAATTATCAGTAAACTCCAGAGAAGCATTGTCTAAACTAAGAGAGAAAAGCAATTTGCAGGAAAAAGAAGTTGCAATGAAATCTCAAACTAATTAACTGCAAAAGGGAAAGGACCAAAATCTTCAAAACATCAAAATTAACCAACATTACAAACGAAATAAAATCAAATCAAATTCTCAATCAAGCACAATAGGAATGAATAAATCCCCATACTCTGCTCCCTAGCTTGCTTGATACAACCTTCTCTAAGTGTCTTAGATCCACATGGTATAGTAGTATGACCACATCGACCGATATTGAATATGGCATGAAACAAAAACATTACACTTGTTGAGCATATAATATATAAACATAAATGTGCAATCTAACTATCAGTTTAGATAGAGTACTTTGAAAATTTTCAATGCACTAATTTAAGGATCGTCAAAAATGAATTACCTCACCGAAGAATGGTCCTAATGTCTCCAAGCTCCACAAGGGTTTCTTTGATTGAAAGCAACTCCTTGACTGCATTGCCAATGCTCATTCTGTCCCTAGGTAACTCCACGGAACAAGCTACATCAATCTTAAGAATTGATACAAGGCATTCTATTATCTTGTTCTGAAGTACAAGACTTTTAGGTGTTGCATTAGCTTCTTTGTGGAATAGCATTGGATCCAAAATCTCAGTGACTTGCTCAGGCATGCTCATTCTAACATAGTTATGAAGAGTTAAGCCATTATTGAAGATATCACTAGTAGGACTTTTACTGGTAAACATTTCTAGCAAAAGGATCCCATAGCTATACATATCTCCAAATGTTGATAAATCACTTCCCATTCCATACATTGAAAAAAAAATTCAAATTCAAGCATTAGTATTCTTTCACAAAAAAAAAATACTTTTAAAATTTTTATGTTCAATTAGAAGTGATTCTATATTAAAAGTTTCAAGAAGAATAGTCTACCTGGAGCTGCATATCCAAAAGTCCCTTTAATTCCTAAAGATGAACTCACTTGGTTAGATGAAGAAGCAAGTGTAACTTCCGAGGGAAGAAACTTTGCTATTCCAAAATCAGCCACGTGAGCAACTAAGTCTCCATCCAACAAAATATTGCTTGGCTTCAAATCACAATGCACTAAACCTGTCTCCAATTGATTATGAAGATAATCAAGTGCATTCGCCACATCAATTGCGATATTTACCCTCTGTAACAAGTTCAAACTCTTTGAATCATTATTCTCTCTTGTGTCTTTTGAGTGATTGTGCAACCAATTGTCCAGACTACCATTGATCATATACTCATAGACAATGGCCAAGAAGTCATTACCCTCATGGTCGATGCTACAACAAGTGGTCAAAACTTTTACCAAGTTTCGGTGCCTAATTTGCCTCAATGCTTCACATTCCACCAAAAAGCTCTTGGATGCTCCTCTCACTTGAAGCTTGAACACTTTAATTGCAACAATTCCCAAACTACCATCAAGAATGCCTTTGTAAACAGTGCTCATGAATTTTCCACAACCAATTATGCTTGATTTAGAAAATTCATTAGTTGCCTTCTGAATACTCCAATATGACAACTTAGGCATGAGCTCTGTCGTTGCATCCAACGTTAAAGGCTGCTTTTTCTTCTTCTTGTAAATGAACACAATGAGAGCCGCAATTATCAGCAGAATCAAAGTCCCACTCAAAATCAAAATTGCCAACTTTTGAATATGGGATAGATGTTGTCTTTCTCCTTCTCTTGGGCATGTTGGCAACCCAAATTGTGGAATACCACCACAAAGGTTGTTACCAACAAGCTCAACTTCAGCCTTGTGTTTAAAAATCCCTTCTGTAGGTATCTCGCCTTCCAAATGGTTAAATGATAAATTCAACCGCTTCAAGTACTGAAGTTCACCTAGAAATTCTGGTATTTTTCCTGTGAGGTTATTACAAGATAGATCTAAAATTTCTAGGCTTTTTAAAGAACTGAAAGAAGGAAGGATAAATCCATGGAATAGATTATGACTGATGTTGAGTTCAATCAAGCTACTCAGTGCACCAATGGTACTTGGAAGTGTGCCTAAGAACATGTTGTTTGAGAGGTTCAGTGACAGCAAATTTTTGAACCCACCAATCTCTACAGGAAGAGGACCTGTAAAGTGATTGTGAGAGAGGTCTAAATACACAAGTGATGTAAAGATAAGTTTGGGAAAATTTCCTTGGAATTTGTTTCTGGAAAGATCTAATGCTAACAAATACTTAAAATTTTCAAAACTTATCGGTATACTACCTTGCAACTCATTGAATTGTAGGAAAAGCTCACTAAGAATGGACAGATTTCCCAATGAAATTGGAATCTCACCAAACAATTTGTTTCCTTCAAGGTATAAACCAATGAGTTGTTGAAGGCTTCCCCATGAGCTTGGAATAGTACCGCCTAGCTGGTTTTCTGATAAGCTTAGGCATTGTAAGTTAACAAGAAGATGAATTTCACTTGGAAGATATCCTCCTATGACATTTTCATGTAATTGAAGATCCTCAAGATTTGAAAAGTTTGCTATGAATCTGGGCAAAACCCCTCCAAAATTGCAATAAGCAAGATACAGGGTCCCTAATGTAGCAGTACTATTGAGAAGAGATGACATGAAATCCAAATCAGTGGATTTTCCATTACCAAGCAGATTGTCATAAAGTGAAAGAAATTGTAGTCTTTTAAGTCCATTAAATGACGGTACCCCTCCATAAAAATCATTATGACGAACATCAAAAAGCCACAGTGCTGTGGCATTTGACATTGAGATAGGAAGTCGTCCTCTTAAAAGATTATAACCAATATGAAAATACTTTAGATTTGGAAGGGTAGAGCCTAAATTTGTAGGAAGATATCCCTCAAGTTTGGTTTCTTGTACATCAAAATCTTCCAATGATGACAGATTGAAAATGGATATGGGAATCGTAGAAGTCAGGTAGTTAGTGTATACTAAAAGTTTAAAAAGTATCTGCAGGCTTCCAAAAGATGTAGGAATTTTTCCCTTTAAATTATTTTCACCGAAAGAAAGTACCTTGAGTGATGAAAAATTGCCGATGTAAGCAGGTATCTCTCCCATCAAGTGGTTTCTGAAAACCCCAAGGTACTCAAGTTTGGACAGTGATCGAAACTCCAAAGGAAATGTACCCGTTAGATTATTCTTTCCCAAATAAAAATATGTTAGACTAACACAATGTGAAAGGTTTTTTGGAATTTCACCTGAAAATACATTACTTTCCAGAACCAACATACTTAATCTTCTAAGTCTACCCATCTCTTTAGGAATTATACCTGATAGAGTGTTGTTGTTTAGCCACAACTCTCTAAGAAAACTCAAGTTTCCAATTGCAGGGGACAAAGAGCCTTGAAGGTTGCTCGACTTCAAATGGATTGTTACAACTCGTTGGTGTTTGCGACCACAACTTATTCCAACCCAATTACAGAAATGGGTAGACTCATTCCATGATCGAAGAGAATCTCCGATCATGTTGGCCTTGAATGAAAGCAATGCTTGGTGATCAGAAACATTTCCGGGCAGGGAGAAGGAAGCTTTGCAGATGAAGGCAAATATGGCATAAAAACAAAATAGGGAGGAGCTCATTTTGTGGAGAAGATACAAACTTAATTTATTATACTGAGTGCACTTGGGGTTTTCAGAAACCACTTGATGGGTTTGACGTGCAGGCTATCTTCAGCACAACTTGAACCAGTTGAGAAACCTTCAACACGCAAATATATTGATAGAAAACCCAGTGGAGGATTTGAGGAATGATATGCATAATTTTAATCCTTGAATCTTCAACATTAATGCTTAACAAAGTAGCATTTTATAGTGATGATATGAAACCTCTTTGGTATGAAAAAATGCAGCCTTCAATTCCTCAAATTAAGCTGCATCTCCTGATTTAAAAAACCATGGAAGTAGGGTCTTGACCAAAATAAATGTTTGAATGAGTTTCACTTCTTCTGGATTACTTCCTGGAGCTGATCCTGGACTGCATCCTGGCGCTGACACTGGACTAGAGTAGGCGCTGATCCAGACTCAACCTGACACAGACACTGGACCATTTTGACAACTAATTTAAGCCAACTTAAGTGGGTTTTAAATGTGTAACATTTTACACTTACATTCTCCCCCTTTGGCAATTAGTTGACAAAATATACTTACAAATATACTAATAGGCTTTTAAAGAAAAAAAAATAATCTTTATTAACAAAAATAGCCACTAAGTATATTTGCTTACAATGAATAAAACACATGATCTGTCAAACAAAACAAAAAAAAAAAAAAAGATATACTCCCCCTTTTTTGTCAAATGAGGGCCAAAGGTGATCATCATTAGTGGGTAGGACTATGAGCTGACGGAGTGCCCGATTTATCTAAGGCATGGGCAGGTTCCAATTCAACATCTATTATCACGAGTAATATCCATATCTCATCCATGCATCACTTATCATCCATATCAATAATCTCCATATTCAACCCATGTCACAATAGAATTCACCACGAAGATGGTAAAATAATCAATCTCATCAACAAGATAATCCAAATAATATGATGATCCAAATAATATGATAATCCATATGAGATAATCCGAATAATAGGATAATCCAAATAAAGATAATCCAAATCATGGACGGAGCCAAAGGGGGGGGGGGGGGGGGGCAGGGGGGTCAGTTGCCCCCCCCCCCACCCCACCCCCATCCCATATATAATCTTTGTATGTATATATGTATATATATAGTACATGTTTGAGTATTAGTATATAAAAAATGTTAATTGTTAATAAGAAATGAGTTAGATTAGTTGGTAGAGCATGTTTTTAGTTATACTAAAGTTCAGAAGTTCGAATCTTATGGGTGTCAATATAATTTTACAGTTTTTTTAATAGCTTTTTAAATATTTAATACACACACACATATATATTCAAATTATTTTATCAAATTAATTATGTTTCATATTTTGTTATGAATATTTTTATAAAGTTTCGATGCGTTTTTTTTTGTTCATATCCAATAATATTTACAACTATATTTCTTAGGTAATTTTTTTTTTTAAATATCTCTTTTATTTTAATGTTTCGCCTTTACTGGAAAAAATTTCTGAATCCGTCCCTATTTCGCCCCCCCCCCCCCCCCCCCCCCCCCCCCCCCCCGCCCCTCAACATAATTCCTGGTTCCGTCCCTGATCCAAATAAGTATGCTCCCTCTCAATTAGTACATTTGTAATTTTGCATTTCCTCATTCTTAGTCAAGTTTACTGGATTTAGACTGACGAATTCGATTGACTGATTTGTTGATGAGATCAGTCAGTAAGATAAACCACGGTAAATATAAAAGAAAGAGATAACAAAACACGCCAACACACAAGATGTTTACCCAGTTCGATACAGTGTGTATCTACGTCTGGGGGACGATCACATAGGCGTCCAATCCACTAAATCATAATCCAATGTACAAAGGTAGAGAAATAACAATCTCACCCAAGTGCCCCACACAAGGTACGTACCCAGTCTACACAGGTTTAGTGGATTGTTGAAGATGGAGAGCCACGCATCCAGAAGTCCAAGGAAATCCCCTCACTTGGAGAGCCAACTCTGATGCAGTCCACTTCAGTGACGCTTTTGTTCAGTTGTTCCCACAACTGTGTGATCATAGTGTCCTTTCGTTTAAGCAGCAGGAATCCTTCTCACGTTCATCATCATAATCACCATACACATATTGTGTTGAGAAGGTGCAGTCAAATCAAAGATGAGATCTCATAAAACCATAAGGAGTGTTTCTTCTCTCTCAAAAGCGTAACCCTAATTCTCGTCGAATAAAAGTACTTATAGTTCCATAAATAAACACTCTCCATAGATATCTTTGATTGTAGAAGGTAGGACTATATTAGAAGAATATAATCTTGAAGATTCGGTCCATACCTTTCCAGAAAATATACGCTGATCTTCTTTCCAAACTTGTCTTCTCATACCGCGTACGGCCTTATAGAAATCAGCTTCCTAAAACAGATCTTCAGTGTCAGTCACTCTGTTGTTGTCCCTGATTGATCAGTCTTCTGTAGACCAAAACTGACACTAAGCTAATCCTATCTTAGTATGCCATAATAATATTGCCAATTATAAGTTGGGGTTTTTTGAGCAAATAAAACACTAACAACATTGACTGTTCGTCAAAAAGAAACATCATAGCTTAGAGCAAGATTCCTTTTGCTTTGTCTGAAAGAAATTGCCATATGAACCTGCACAAGCTAAAAAGAAACAAGAGACCCAGAACAAGCACATCAACTTGCACACAACTCGGCAAAACAACAATTCAAGAACTTTAAAAAAAAGGTCAAACAAAGCAGACAGATTAGCAAATAAACCAGTCACATCCAGGTAAAGCAGATTTAGGCACAGATTCATATAAAGCATATTAAGGCACAGATTCATATAAAGCATATACAAGCACAAATTCATTACACTTAGCACAGAAAGCACACAACCGAAATCAAACACGATCATGACCAGACAAAACACATAAAACATAGAAACAAATACACATGACATTACAAGAATAGCATTTTCAAATTCAGACACCAATTCAGAGGAAAAATTAGATACAGAAACTGGACCATAGGTTCCTGGAGTAGAGATAGAAGCAGAGATAGAACCAGAGAATTCTGGAGCGGAAACTGACACAGAACCAGACTGACAGGATTAGCAACAATCATAACTGGAGCAAAAAAAATTCGAAGGTACAATCACACAAAATCGATCAAATCATAGATGGATATTTAATAAACACATAAAACTAGTTAAAGAAGGCAAAACAAGATAATCCAGGCAAAATAGAACTGCGCAGTGCAAAAGCAACGAGAAAGACAAAAAGATAGGAATTGAAAATGGTATTGAGCAAATACCACCACTAGTAGAGGAGAGAGTAGAAAAAGGTACCATAATTTCATATTTTTTGAACTCTCCAAGTCAGCAATCGGAGAATTAGGATTAATATTTTCTGGACTAGGCCAGCAATTCTTCTGGATCTGAAACAGTAAAAAAACATTTAAAAAAATATAACTTATTGAATTATAAAATACCTGGTTTTATTTCGATGATGACCCTTCAATCTTGTGTTTGCAGATTCTCTAATCCAACTCCTCTGTCTTCTGCTAGTGTCCCTTGAGATGCGATTGGAGTTAACTGGGATATAAAATCTGCTTTCTTAACCACACTTGTTTTACAAACGGTGCAATGTGTTTATGGGTGTACTTCTCACGCCTTTGGTCTTTATAAAAGTAAAAACACTCAGGTTTGGTATGGCTACGAACCCTGCAATAATGACAAATAGGGTTATAGAATTTAAATTTTGGATTGTCCCGCCTTACATTACCAAAAACTGGTCCAGGTGCTGAGTCAGAGTCAAAAGCTTTTACAAAAATTGTCACAGCCTTGTCTTTTCCGCCAGAAAAACCTAAACCATACTTGGTAGATGTAGTCCTTCTAGAATCCAAGATTTGGTCGAGCATGGAAGTGTTGTTCATCATTTTAATTATCCTTTTGAGCATGTCCAACTCTTATTTGAGTTCTTCGTCGCGTTTGAGCCCGTCTTTGATGATGTTGTCCCTGTCAGTAATTTGATTTTTATACACTTTCCTAGCATTCTCTAGATTACTGACTTGACTCGACAAAGATCGATTTACTTTTACAAGAATTTCCCATTTTGCATACAAATTTTTATATTGAACTACAAATGAGGGAACTGGTAAATCATGGTCTTCAGCCGACACATATTCTCCAGCTTCTGAGTCTATTTCAGCTTCTAGGTCAGACTCCATGTTGGCTATTGCAGTGAAAGCCACAAGGTTACCGAAGATCTCTTCTGGACCAAATCCTGGATCAGGATCAGGTTCAAGTTTGTCATCATCACTCCAGGTTAGAGCTGCCTTCATCGACTTCTTACGCCTTAGGTATGTTGCGCATTCTGCTCGAACATGGCCGAAACCTTCACATTCATAACACATAATGCCTTTTGCACTTGATTTATCCATGGATTGAGAGTTTCATGATGGACGAAAATTAGATGATCCAGTCTTTTGGTTGTTACGTGATGCATTTGATGTTGATCCCTTCTGGTTTTGAAACTTTCCATTTCGAGAGTTGTTAATCTGTTTCACCTGTTTCAAAAGCTTCGAAAGTTGGTTAATTAAAAATTCAACTGGATCATCATTTACCTCATCTGGATCAGATACTAACTCATGTTCTGCAGCTATAAAGGCAATGTTTTTCTTCTTTTTAGTGTGGTCAGCGAGTATTTCCATCTCATAGGTTTGCAAGTTTCCCATTAATTGAGCTACGATTTTGTTCTCCTACCCGTCATGTTCTTGAATCGCCGTTACCTTCATCCTGAAACGTCCCACCCGTCATGTTCTTGAATCGTCGTTACCTTCATCTTGAAACGTTGAGGGAGTGAACGAAGAATCTTCTTGACTAGTTTAGGTTGGGAGAAAGGTTCGCCTAGAACGGTTGCACGATTTGCTAGTTCTTAAACACGGGCATGGAAATCAACTATTGATGAGTCTTCTGCCATTTTTAGATCTTCAAAGTCAGATTGGACCATTTGG